AAGGCCTGGGTACCCATGACCCTGGGCTGGGTATTGTATTTATCACCTATTATTTTTCCCCTAAAAATCATAATTGTAGACTTCTATGATCGTAGTTTCTTTGTAATTCTCCCTCAAATCTTTGAATGTTTCTATATTGTTTCTTAGTTTGTAGCTATGCTGAGATATTCATCACCAATCTTCCTCTTTTTTCTATTAATTTTCAGTCCAGAGTTTTTTAGGAGCACATTTTGTGATTTTATGGCCAGGAGTTAGCTGGCCCACTCTTGTCCAACTGTTGGTCATGGGAGGCTATGGAGGAAAATCCTCTGGTTTACCCAGAGATTAGTCCACGCTATGTGAAGCTCGGCACAAATGCTTTGGCTACTGCTCTACAACTTCTGAAGATCTTTCGCTGACTAGGCACAGTACATATGTGTTTCCCACTCCTGCTTTGCTGTGCTGAGTTATTCTTACAATATACTGGGAAAACTCTTACATAAAGATACTTGGAAAACTCCATATAAGTTTATTTTAGTACAAAACAGTTTTTTTCCAGAAAGGTCATAGAAATGTGTGCTATGGAAAAATATGCATGGATTTCAAATTTTCTTTAACTAAAATCAGCTTATCTTTTATTTCCATTTTCCACAAACTTTTTGAAGTCCCCTACTATGTATCATGGATGCTTGCAATGAATTTTGACTTCTTAGTACTGAGGTTTTCCTTCAGTTGCCTCCCATTTTCTTCATAACTTTAAATTTTGATTTTTTAAAAGATTTATTTATTTGAAAGGCAGAGTTATATTGAGGTGGGTGGGGAGTGCGAGAGGGAGAGAGGTCTTCCATATGCTGGCTCACTCTCTAAATTGCTACAATGGACAGAGCTATACCAATTCTGAAGTCAGGAGCCAGGAGCACTTCCTGGTCTCCCATGCAGGTTCAGGGGCTCAAGGACTTGGGCCATCTTCTACTGCTTTCCCAGGCCACAGCAGAGAGATGGGTCGGAAGAGGAGCAGCCAGGATTCAAACAGGCATCCTTATGGGATGCTGGCACTGCAGGCAGCAGCTTTAACACAGTACCAGCCCCATAACTTTAAATTCTTCTAGTTTCTTTCTCTCCTTTCCTCCATTCACCCTATCCCTCCCTCCTTTATACTACCAAGTTTTTTTCTTGACTTTGCTTCTTCGATTGTTTCAATAGGAATTATATAGTAATTGTCTTAGTTTGCCACCTTTCTCCGTAAATTATGGAACAATTTCTCAAGTTTTTCCTCTTTCCAAGTGTCACTTCTATAGTTAACATCTTCAGTGATGGATTTTTATGATATTTTTATGATTATCATTTCTTTGTAATCTTCCATTTTCTTACTGTACTCTTTAATCTCAGCATCAAAGCTTTTCTTTGTGGTATCTCTTCCTCCTGAGCTGTTGGGTCTTGTTAGGATATCTTCTGGCTCCTTAAGAACTCCTTTTCAGTTATGATCTTCTCCAAGTGGTTAGACCAATATTCTCTTTAGCTCTTGCTAGAATGTTTTCTGTTTTTCTCATATAGGTCTCCCTCCTCCACTTTCCTTTTTACCTATCCCAGAGCTAGGAGAAAGCAATGCAAACTTCATATTTGGAAATATAGGCATGCACTGTCATCAGGGAGCTTCCTTTATTCTCCTTGCTCTGTGATAGTTCACCTATAAGGAGCAGATACAAACCTGCATTATAATTGTTTCCCTCCTCCTCCTGCTGTTCACATCCCAGATCCCTGCTGGACTATTTCCTACTCTCTTTATCATCTGAACCCTGTCTCCTCTGGATACATGAGGTGACATGAGGATGCCACATAGACTTAATATTCTGGGTACATATTAAGTATCCCAAGATAAAGGATTGGCCTCACTTTTTCTGATTCCATAAAAAACAGGGTAAATAGTAGAGATTATTATTTTCTTCAATGTTTTTCTTTTAACTTTCTTTGAAGAAACAGGGCTGCTGTGTTTTGTGAAGTGGCACGTGGGAGCTCCTCAATGCTTTTCTTAACCCTGCTTCTTAGCTAGTTATACAGTCTGTGGAAATTCCCACTAAGTTGTTATTCTTTTTTTAAAGATTTATTTATTTATTTGAAAATTGGAGTTACACAGGGAGAGAAGGAGAGGCAGAGAAAGAGAGAGCGAGCGAGGTCTTCCATCTGCTGGTTCACTTCCAATTGGCCACAATGGCTGGAGCTGTGCAGATCCGAAGGCAGGAGCCAGGAGCTTCTTCCAGGTCTTCCAACACAGGGGCAGGAGCCCAATTCCTTGGACCATCTTCTGCTGCTTTCCCAGGCCATAGCAGAGAGCTGGATCAGAAGTGGAGCAGCCAGGACTTGAACTGGGGCACATATGGGATGCTGGCACTGCAGATTGCGGCTTTACCCACTACACCACAGTGCCAGTCCCTTGTTACTCTTTTTGATCCTCCTTTTATTCTTAACTTTCAGAGGTGTATGGATTTTTTGAAATTGTCAATATTCTCTGAAATATTTATTGCTAGATTGGAATAAGTTATATAAGGTTACTAACTTTGACATTCTAATTCCATTTTTTAAAATAGTAGTAACTTATTGAGGAAACAGGGTTAGAGTATGGATTACAAGCCAATAAACCTCTGGCTCAGATTCTTTTCTACAAAAATAGTGAAAAATCTATTGTAGTTATAAATTACTTTGTACATAGTTAATTTCATGGCATTATAAAACCAAGTCGATGTACTGATAATTGAGACTGACTTTATGATGATGAGTTCACAAGGAAGATAGTGCTTTATTAAAATCTCTAGCCTAATCCAATTTGAGTGCTGCTTTCTTTGTGCATTGGCTTTCAGTTTTGATTTTTTTTAACAAACTCCAATTTATAAGTATTGATGCTTCTCTTCTATTTTTGGCAAAGTATTTTCACTTACATAAAATTTTGCAGTCAGCAGCATTGATTGGAACAGTGTGTTTCTGGTGAAGCACTTTTTTACCATAGGTGGCTGACACTGATGGATCTTTTTCAATCCATAGTTCACTGAGAATGCCCTAGGTTAGACACAATTTTCCAGCCTTATAAGAGAGAAGAAGAGCCAAAAACCTTGTGCTTATGAAATATATTCAGAGGAAAAGAAAGTTTATGGACTCCACGGCCATTCTCTCTCTTTTACATGACCCTATCTTGAAGTGTGAGCAAGTTCCCAGGAATGACTCATTGTCCAATTTAGAGGTCATCTGGATCTCTTCTAGTCACTCAGAGATTTTGTGGAGAAAGTTATCAGTCTCTTAAGTCTGAAGTAGTATTTTTGTGTTTCAGATCATTTACTATTTTGAACCTAGTTCCGTTTACATAGAGTATTTCATTTAAATCTCACAATAGTCTCTGAAAAGTAAGTCCACTATATTTGCTATGGCACATGGACTAAGCCTCCACTTCCGTTGCCAGCATCCTGAACTGGAGTGCCAGTTCAAGTTCCAGCTGCTCTACTCCCTGATAATGCACTGGGGCTTGTCCTGCAAAGCCACACTGTTGGGGAGAGCAGGGCGAAAGTGTTCTTCCCACAAGAAGCACCAGAGACAAGTTTCGGCGAACATGTCTGTCTATTCACAGCCACTCACACTTTTAAAGGGCAGACACAAGGGGCATAACTAAATCAAGGCAACACCACTACTACAGGACAGAACTGACACTGGCACTAATATGCCTCTCCAATCAGCTCGAAGATCACATAGCTAGGGTAGCTTTCCAGGTAGGCCTGGGCCACACCCAGGGGCAGTTTACCTGATTGGCAGAAGGTGGGGTGGGGAGAAATGTGCCTGGGGCTCCTGCTGCCAGCCATACCAGCAGTCCGGATAACTGCATGGGCTAGGCAGGCAGCCTCATGCGATCACCCACAATACACATGGGAAGGCAGCAGGTGATGACCCAGGTTCTGAGCCCCTGCCACTCATGTTGGAGATCCGGATGAAGTTCCTGGCTCCTTGTTTTGGCCTCGCCCAACCCTGACTGTTGTGACCATTTGGGGAGTGAACAGGTGGATGGAAAAATCAATCTCTCTCCTCTTTCAGCACTACCTCCCTCCTTCTCTGCTTTCTCTGTCACTCTGCCTTTGAAGTAACTAAATAAAAAAAATAAAATAAGCCTAACAACACAAAGACTGAGATACAGTATATGAACTGCCCTGCATCACATACTGACTCAACATTATTAGAAATAAAGGAGTTTCTTCCATCTAAAAAAAAAAGAAAATTAAATTACATATGTATAAAATGTATCAACTTTTTAATTTATTAATGGTCTATAACTCAAGTTGATAAAACTAAACAGATAATTTTACATTTGAGTTCTTATTTATCAGTTCTTTTTCAATCTATGTCTCTTTTAGTTGAACAAAAATAGCATCTATCAAATGTATTCTGAAAGCTTCAGAATATATATATATATATACATTTAAGGCTAATAAATTTTTCTGTGATTTCCTTGTTATTACATAATATTTTGAAAAATAACATTTGACAATCTTTCATTCATATGAAATATAAATATTTGAGACAATGTGCTTTTTGCCAGTCGGAACAATGTTGAATTTTTACAGTAGTTAGGAATGGAAAGCCATTTTTAAAAAATGTTTCTCTGTTTTGAAAAGGAAACACTCTCTTGAAATTCAATTCATTGAATGAGTTGCCAAAATTAAAAGCCGAAAGCCTGTTTGGTGTGAGATATGAGAGCACTCTGGGATCAGAGCCCGTGATTGCTTGTCATCCCAGATCTCTGAAGAAATGGCTTCTATTACTCGCAAAGTTTCATCCAAGCACTTCTCTGATCTTGAATATGTTTCCAAAGTGTGACTTTTTCTTGTACACTTTTATTATAACCTGTACTAATACCAACAGTTTGGAAATAAGTGTATCTGACAATTCAGGAACTCCTTTTTTCTGGTCTATTGCTTTGTTCATTAAAAAGTCATTATTACTATTTTACAGTAAAGTCTTTGTCACTTTGTTAATAAAATTTCTAGGTTGGATTCAGCACTGGCTTTGTTGGTCCTTGGGGAGGCTGCCAAATTAAACCTGGCCTGCTTGAGGACCTTGATGGACCTACTTAGGGATTTTATTTCAAGCATTCTCTCCATTCAGAATCAGGTAACAGCACTGCTAATTTACCTGTGAAAAGAGACCTGTGTAGACACATACTTTATTTTTCCCATTATTTAAATTGTATATTATACTAGGACATATAATGATAACAATTTTAATTAAATATTAAAGCAAATGTACATTTAAATTTATTCTAAACGTCTTTGATTGTTATTATGTACATATTTTAGTAGGAGTGAGATCTTTATTTAACCATTTCTTATTAAACATTAACTTTGTTATATAAAGAGCTACAGTTAATTACAAGTAATGATGAACTGGTGTTTTTACACATAAATCTTTACCTGCATTTCTCACTATTTCTCTAGAATACATTAGTAACACTAAATTACTGAGTGAATAACTACTTACTTTCTTTAATATTCTTGAAACAAATGTCTAAATTTTTCTACAGCAAGTATAACTTTCTTATATTCCTATGAATGATATATGAAAATGTCACAAACTAGAACTGAATTATAAATCAAAAATATTTTTAAGATATAATGAAAATCAATGTTTCATTAGATTATGACAAAAATTGAAAAGTTTTTTGTATGTTTATTGGCTATTTATATTCTTTCATTGCATACTTATTAGTTATTTTTTTAATTTTTGAACTGTATTTTATACAATCCACCTATGGAAGATCTGTTTAATAATGCATACATTTGGAAATATTAGCTTATTATAATCTTTTAATAACTCCAAATAATTTGAAGATATTTCTTTTATGTTGTTATAGAATTCTTAATATGAGAGAATTGACTTCTTTTATCAAATATGTATTTTCTCATTTCAGCAAGAAAGCAACAATGTAAATGATTTTTCCTCAGCTTGGAATATAGTCACCATATATACAACAATTCTTTCAGAAATCTGCTTGTATGCATCCACTTCTGATTTGCGAAAAACGGCTCTGATTGGTTTTTGTGACTGTAAAAATTCTAGAAAAAGTATTTTACTCATGGACAAACCAGAAGAAGAGCCAGAATTAAGAGGAACAAGTGTTTTAAGTCTTTTGGAATATTTTTCTTCCAAAATATCAGATAATTGTAAGTAAATTGTTTTTTACTTGATGAGTCATACTTGTTAATTGTCCTGTCTGCATAGACATATTAAACCTTTCACAAAAGTTTAACATTTAAGTGTGGGAAATGATATTAATTTCAGTAGAACTTGCTCCAAATTTTGGAAGCGTATTTTATATTGTGGAATATTTTTATCAATAATTTTAAAATAAGCAAAAGAAAACTAAGCTCAGTTGATTTATGATGCAAATTAGATTCCTTGCAAACAAAAGTTGTCCTTAGGAAAACTTTTGAAGTCTATATTAAAATTTCTTTCCTCTTTATTTTTATTTCTTTACCCTAAGGACTTCTGCATTTTCTCTATGCATCTACAAGGCTTTTTTTTTTAAGGCTTATTTTATTTATTTAAAAGGCAGGGGTTTCAAAGAGAAAGGGAGAGACAGAGAGAAGATCTTCCATCAGCTGGTTCACTACTCAGATGGCTACAACGTCCGGGGTTGGGGCTGGCTGAAGCCAGGAGCCCAGAACTCCATCTGGGTCTCTTATATGAGTGGCAGAATCCCCAGCACATGGACCATCACATGTTGCCTTTCCAGGTGCATTAGCAGGGAGCAGGATCGTAAGCAGAGTCCTGGGGACTTGAACTGGTGCTCATGTGGAAAGCAGCATCACAAGTGGCGCTTTAACCTGCCGCACCACAACCAAATGTTTTCTTGTTACTTTTTCCTTGATCAGAAGATTTCTCTGCAATAACTTGCACATATATTGCAGTATATTATATTTTAAAATGTCTTTATTATATTTATTTGGAAAACAGAAAGACAGAGAATGAGAAAGGCAGAGAAAGGTCTCCCATCTGCTGATTCACTCAGAAATGCCTGCAACAGCCCTGGATGGGCCAGGCAAAGCCAGGAGCTAGGAACTCAGGCTGGGTCTACTTTGTAGGTAGCAGAGATTCACCAGTGTTAAGTCAGCACTTCCTTTGGTATGTGACCTCCTTTGGTATGCTTTAACAGGAAGCTGGAATGGAGGGCAGAGATAGGACTGGAACCCAGTCACTCTGATACAAGGTGTGGGTGTCTGGAGTCAGGGCTTCACCGTTGTACCCAGTGTCTGCTCCTGTGGTCCATCCTTCACACTGATGCTTTACCCTCCATCAAATAGTACTTGTTGTGTGAATCAAGTGACTGTGCGTATGGGAGCTAGTAAAATATTTTATTTTTAAAGGAGTGCTGTGGGTGCAGTATTAATGTAATGGGGATCTTTTAGATTAGAGAACTTTCTGTATAGGTTAACTTTAGAGTCATTGCAGTTTATGTGTGGCTATAGACTGTTGCGTATATGAATGTGACTCTCACTTCTGCTAAACTGTGAGGTAATTGAGAATACAGACTCATGTCTGCATTATATTTGTGTTAATTCAGTATCTAGCATAGCAGTAGATAATAAGTGGGTTTGTCATGTAACTCTGTGATTAGTCACTGAATTTTAGATATAATTGCAAGATTTTTAAAGTATGAAGGAACAAAACACTATCTTTACTCAGAACTGTAATTTACTTATTTGATGTTGAATTGTACTTGAATATAAGTTCAAATAATAATACTTTAGTAGTAGTTATTAATGCCATTTTTAAAAGATTTTATTTATTTGAGAGGTAGAGTTATAGACAGTGAGAGGGAGAGACAGAGAGAAAGGTCTTCCACCCACTGGTTCACTCCCCAAATGGCCACAATAGAGGCTGGAGCTGTGCCGATCCAAAGCCAGGAGCCAGGTGCTTCTTCTGGGTCTCCCACATGGGTACAGGAGCCCAAGGATTTGGGCCATTTTCTATTGCTTTCCCAGGGCACAGAAGAGAGCTGGATTGGAAGAGGAACAGCCGGGATGAGAACTGGCGTCCATATGAGATGCCGGCACCGTAGGCAGAGGATTAACCTACTGTGCCACAGCGCCGGCCCTAATTTCATTCTTAAAAAATTTGCTCAGAATTTTAAGTTACTTTCAGTAAGCTTTGACTTAATCAGAATACTGGATTAAATCATTTCTGAGTGTAATTTGACCTTTTCCCACTTTTCAGATAATATTTTATTGTTGTTGATTTTAAATATATGATTTATTTTTCAATACACAAATTGGATTTCTCACATGTCGATAGGATTGATAAATATAAATAAATGTTGTATTCTTTTGCTGTTATACTTCTAATTTAATTATTCAGAATGGGCTGGCTGCTGGCTCCTGGCTCCTGGCTTTGGATTGGCGCAGCTCCGGCCATTGTGGCCATCTGGGGAGTGAACCAGCGGATGGAAGACCTCTCTCTTTGTCTCTACCTCTCTCTGTAACTCTTTCAAATAAATAAAATAAATCTTAAAAAAATTATTCAGAACAGTCAGATATCTTACTATACAGTAACTCAACACATGACTTCATTTTTTATGTTTGGAAGATTTTTTTATATTTTGAAAGGCTGGTTTATTTATTTGAAAGGCAGAGAGAGAGAGAGAGATCTTCCATCCACTGGTTGCTCCTCAAATATCTGCAACAGCCGAATGTCAGCCAGGCTGAAGCCAGGAGCCACGAATTCCATTCAGGTCTCCCATGTGAGTAGTAGGAACCCAAATGTTTAGGCCATGATGTGCTACTTTCCTAGGTGCATTAGCAGGAAGAGGGATTGGAAGCAGATGATTTTTTCTGAAGATTTTATTTATTTGAGGTAGAGTTACAGACAGTGAGAGGTAGAAACAGAGAGAAAGGTCTTCTGTCCATTGGTTCACTCCCCAGATGGCTGCAATGGCCAGAGCTGCACCAATCTGAAGCCAGGAGCCAGGAGCCAGGAGCCAGGAACCAGCAGCCAGGAGCCAGGAGCCAGGAGCCAGGTGCTTCTTCCTGGTCTCCCATGTGGGTGCACGGGCCTAAGTACTTGGGCCATCTTCTGCTGCTTTCTCAGGCCACAGCAGAGAGCTGGATTGGAAGAGGAGCAGCCAGGATTAGAATCGCTGCCCATAGGGGATGCCGGTGCCACAGGTGGAGGGTTAACCTACTGTTCCATGGCGCCAGCCCCATGATTTTTAAACTTCATTTATAAAAGTTAAGTTTTATATCTAAATTAGTTCTTCACACATAGGTTGCAAAAGAAAGCACAGGTTTTAAAATTTGGATTTAAAAAATCCATCTATGAAATCAAAGCCTTTAACTCTGTCTACCTGTGTAAATGCTTTCAGGTTTCTATCTCTGACCACTTCGGTGGTGGACCCACTCTGTGGGGAAGATCTTCATTCTTGGAAGCCCCATGGCTGCCCTCCGGCTTTCAGCTCTGTACTCTGGCATAGCCCCATGATGATGAGATTTCCTCTTTGTGGGACATGCATTTTTTTTTCTTCATTGGCAGTCTTATTTCTCCCATTGCCAGCTGATCCTTCATTGAATTTATTTGCCTATTGTTGATTTTTTAAATTGAGATTCTTATCTTTTCCTGAAAACTTTACTGTGATGAAAGAATTTGGGTGGCCTGTTGAAAGAGATTTTGTTTTTCTGCCTATCTAGCTTAACACTGCTCAGCTTTCCAGAAAACACACCCCAAATCTTCAAATATTTTTCTCCTTGCCTATAGTGGTTTCTGCAATAAGCTTATTGAGAATCATGTGGTATTTACATCAGGTTTCTTCTCTCTGAACAACACCATACATTCTGGCCAGTTATGTCTGTGCTCGAGATTGCCATGTGCATCATCATCCTACGTCAATGTTTTCTCATCTTTATATATAGGAGTGAACACATTTTTTCTATTTAGTATGAATTCAATACTAAGGGGGAACATATGACATCCAAGAGCACACAATTCAGATTAGGTTATTTTTGTATGTGTCTCTAGATGAGATTGCCACCTAGATATTTGGTAAAAAATAGTCTCACCAAGTAAGGTTGTTACTTTTGTGTAATTATTTTCCATTGAATATACTCTCCAGGAGTTTCTGAATCTCATTGTACTGACTGCCAGACAATGTGATGGATCAAAGAACTATCTTTGGAGATCCTACCGTATCATTATTCTTTAAATGGCTTGGTGATACAAGGTAGAAGGCAATCCCTGAAAGACTAGATGCTATAAGGAGACTCTCTTTGTACATTCACAAGTGGTACAGAGGCAATGGATGGAATGTTTGCTTTCATTGATGTCCTTGTAATGCTTACACTTGAATTCAGCAGTGAAATGATTAATCAGGATTTTCTTCAGTGTTTTCTCAACACTGGTGGACAAATAGAAGTTACTAGCAGTGGGATTCTTTAAAAGATTTAATCTATAGTAATCAAATCAAAGTGCCTCTTGCATACTCAAAGATCAGTGTTCTTCCTATTGCATCAAACATCTTGAGCAATCCATAAGCAATACTAGCGGCATTTGTCTTAGGTATGATTCTGAAATTGATTTTGAAATTGATTTCTTACAAAATCCTTGTGGCTTCTTGTGGGAAATGATTGAAGTTAAATTGATAATCTGATGGAAGCCTGGTTAAACATATCTCAAGAGTCTGTTCTGGAGTGTTCTTAATGTCTCTCAGAACCACCCATGGACATAAACTTTTGATCTTATTAGTCTCCTGGATTTTTATCTATCTGTGTCAATCACTACTATGAAAAACCATCACTTGACAAATTCATTGTCAAATATTTCATCAGTCAATTGACAGAAATTAAAAACTGTCCTGTTATGGTTCATTATAACTTGATTTTTGGAGCATCCCTGCGTAATTTCTCCGTGTACACAGTGATTCTGTCTGAGTATCCTGAGTGCTTTATCAGCGGTGATGAAGGCTAGCTCCACTGTACCACAGAGACTAGAGGGTCCCCAAGTGCTATCATTCGTTCACGCTTTGTCAATGTGATTACTGGGAAAAATGGACTTGTCTTTCTGAAATGTGATATAAAAACTGAAGGAGGTTTTTCCCTCATAATTTTACCCTTCAAGACAGTCATTTGTTTAGAATGAGAAAACCCAGCCTGTATGCATACGAATTTGTACTTTAATTTTGTTACTTGTATAGCATAATCTTAAGAAAAGC